TTGTTTATAATAGAGTATGCAAGGCAGAGGTTTCAACAATACTGGTTGAAGAAGTTTGATGCCCTGGATTGCACAACGTTTTAGGCTCGACCTCGACTGGTACGCCCTCCTCCAGCTCCCTCACCCTCATGTTAGTTCTATGACACTTCCTGTTAGTTCTGTGGTGTTTCCTGTTAGTTCTGTCTTCTTTTTAGTTAGTTCTGTATCTGTTAATTCTGTTGTTAATTCTATTTATGCCTGTTAGTTCTTTTAATATCCTAATAACAATCTATTAATTTTTCAAGCTAAAATGCCTGTTTCGACTGCAAGCACGGAACGAGCATTTTCAGCAATGAAACTCATAAAAACATCATTACGCAACAAGATGGGTGATGAAATGCTTGCTAATAACATGATACTTTATATTGAAAAAGAAATTACTTCCAGCCTCGACACAGAAGAAATAGTAGAGGAGTTTGATTCCAGGGCAAACAAAATTCCTGGCTACGCCACTGTATGTGGCTATTGTATTATTATCAGTTCGAGCAGAAAGAAAACATGTGGCTATTGTCAATAAAATTTAGACAGTCAAGATGTAATCTTATAACTAACATTTGGTTCAGAAATTTTTCTTATTTGATGCTTTATGAGCGTTTATATGCAATTTTGCTTGGCGCGAAGTTTACAAACACTTGGGGAAATCAGACAACAAAAACACAGGAATCACAAAACCCTTGAATAAGTTTTGAGCAAAATTAACACTTCTGGATCAAATCAAATTCAAACTAATCAAGTTCCAAGATTTCCTCATAAAAGCATGAAATTTGATCCATAACTACCCCAAATTTGATGAAAGTAAAAAAGATTTAAAAAAAAAACTCACCGCCGTTTAAGAGAGGGGGATCGAGCGATTGAGGTTCAGGCCTCAGCCTCGTGAACTATTATGATTTGCATCTCGATCTCCTCTCCCGACCGAGAGACGATAAATCAATTATTCTATTAATTAATTTCTCGACAAAAATCACTGAAGGAAAATTTGGGCCCGTCGACGGGCTTCAGAGTTGAAGGGCCTGTATAGCCTTTTGATATCAGTCCTTAAATCGTTCCTACTCTGAAAGCTGTCGCTTAAAAGGTGAATGCAATTGCTACGAGGTCCCACAAAACTTAAAGTTATTTTAAAACGAGCTTTGCTACGTGGACCCAAAATACGGGACCAATACAAAGGACAAGTGAGGTGTCCCCTCCTATTGAATAATAAGTTAGTCATCATTAATGATGGCTCACTTGTCCCCCCTATTGATCCCATATTTTGGGTCCTTGAGGAATTTTTCTTTTAAAACTAGTTCCTCCAATCAAGAGTAGAATAGAGAGATTAACTTAAAACAGCTTATGAGAATTGAGAGAACTTAATTTAGGGGACTAATTTCAAAATAACTTAAAATCTTGGGTGCCTAGTAGCGGTTTCAATGATTCAAAATATGAAAGATTTAAGTGACTAATATTAGATTATATATATAGAAGAGAGAGAGAGAGAGAGAGAGAGAGAGAGAGAGAGAAATTTATGTCAACTTAAGTGGACCATCCACCAAAGTTTCTATCCATTGATGATACCTAGAGATCCGTGCATCATATGAAAAGACTTTTCATCAAAGGATAGAAACTTTGGTGGATGGTCCACTTAAGTTGACATAAGTTTTTCTCTATATATGTATGTATGTATGTAATGATGGGTATGAGGTGGTGGCTCATTATGCTAAATAAGCTACCAAGAAATAGAGCGGTGAGGTCCACACCTTTTGATGTGACTAACAATGGGGGCCTCACCACATGACTATTTCTTTGTTGCTCATTTAGCAAAATGAGTCACCACATCATACCCATTATTTAAACACACACATTATGGATACATTTCAAAATGTTTTTCACCTTTTTTTTCTTTTTCTTTTTTTACTTTTCAAATTTTAACTTCTCCTTTTAGTAACGCTTATGGGATTGGTTGCAAAAGAAGAACCCGAATCTAGATCCTGTACATTGTATAATGGACAGAAAACACTAGAGTGGTTAAACAAATGATCTATGCTCCTATAACCTCAAATGTCGAAAATCTTCTACAATCAAGAGCAATTTATACAAAGCAATATCAGAGGATAAGTATGCATAATTAAAATTTCATACATCTGGCATCAGCATAAGCAATCTTTCTTAAGAAATTGGGAGAAATCAGGACATACAGTACTAATGCTAATGGAGCTGCAGAATCTGTGGATGATCGAAAGAGATGTGAAATGTGAGAGTAGTCTGAGAAATTATCTTACCTGACCACCCTTTCCATATACAGTAAGAGGATGCCCGACAGCCGCTTGAACACAAAATCTGTTAAGAGCAGTTCCGAAAACCCCATCATAATCAAATCTATTGCATAGCTCCTCGTGCATCTCTGTTTCATCTGTCCTCACTCCATAAACTACACCCTGGTTCAAATCAGTCGCCCTAATTCCCCACGCTTTGCAAGTAAACGCAATATTATGCGAATCATGAACTTTGCTAAGATGATAGAATGAACTCGCTTGCTTTGGATAAGGCAATGTATCAGTTCTCCCATTATGATTGATTGTTATGAATCCTTCCTCAATATCAATATTTGGCGTTCCATACTCTCCCATAGTCCCAAGCTTTACTAAATGGCACTCTTCTCTAAACTCTTTGATGGCAAAGAGAACATTAAGAGTCCCAATTACATTGTTATGCTGAGTGTACACAGCTCTTGACCGGTCTATCATCGAGTATGGTGCTGACCTTTGCTCGCCAAAATGCACAACAGAATCTGGCTCAAAAGATTTGAAGGCTTCGGATAAGAATTCAAAGTCACAAATGTCTCCGATATGGAGTTGTATTGATTTTCCAGTGAGAGATTTCCATCTACGAACTCGATTTTGGATTGAAGAAATAGGGGTGAGAGAATCAAGGCCAAGTTGGTGATCAAATAGACGGCGAACTAGATTATCAACTATAGCAACTTCATAATTTTTGTTCGAAAGGTGGAGAGCAGTAGCCCATCCACAATATCCATCACCACCGATGATCATAACTTTTTTGGGTTTGGAAGTTGATTCGTTAGGAATTTGGGGAGAATTTGATCGAGGTTGGCCTTTAATTTCATGGCTTATAGGGGTAGCAGTAGCAGAAATTACCTGTTGTCTTTGAGGTTTTTGCTTAAAAGATTGGAGGATGACATTTGGAGATTTGGATGTCCTAAATTGAATAGAAGTATGAGAGAGCGGTGAAGACTGATTCAATAGTTTGGTGCAAGTTTTGGTGGATGGAAAGGGATTTATTAAAGTACAGGAAACTCCGACCAAATGTGCCATTTGATGTCTGCTTTCGAGTTTCGACAAACTGGTGTGTAGATATTTTTACTAGTACCTGCAAAAAAATGTTTTAGTTTCAGAACAAAGGATATGAAAAACAATTTTTGTTCATTGCAATATAGTAGTTCGTGAAAATAAGACGATGCCAACGTGATACCAAATGTTGAACTCATGAACAAAGAGAACAGTTCATAAAATACTTGAGGGCCATTGAACAGTCAATCTTATAATGAATCCAATACAGATAAAAATAACTCATCAAATCTTTAACATAGGCATCTGCATTTATCATAGCCTAAAATTTGATCATAAGCAGTGATGTACTTGGAAGCGGAAATGTGTCCAAGTTGCACAAGCTATAAGAAGAAAGCTCAAACGAGCATAAAGCTGCATAGTTGGTAAATGGTGATGTCATCCGAAACGGAAATGTCTTCAAGTTCTAAAAACTGGTAAGAAACAGGCTAGACAGCAGTAAAGGTTGAACAGCGTGCTTTTGGATATTCTCCAAATGAGAGCTATAGCATGGAAGCATAGAAGACTTAACACCTCACAATTAATGTGGTTAATAATTTAAGCTGAGAACCCCCATTTTTCCATTCCTAATGACCAACACAACCTTTCTAACACAACCCCTTCAAACACAATTCAGTGAGTAAACAGTTCAGAGCTCGGTCATTTCAATGCAATCAGGGACTCACATCAACAATACTTTAGTTTTCATTAAGGGAAAGAACACGAGGAACTCGATATGCACGCAATGTATCAGCAAAATAGAAACCATTTCCTTCAAGTATTGATCAGCCTAATGAACTCCACGAAGTCATATGAATTCTAAGGAGCGTTAGAATTTAGATCTAGGCCTTCCCCTTCTGCACATTCAGACCATACTGAAGTACTTCATGATGAAATTATCCCAAGCAGTAAGCAATTAAAAAGGCTTCTATCAAAAACCCAGCAGACCCAAAGAAATAGAAACTAAACAAAAGTAAAGTTCCACCCAAAAAAAAAAAAACCCCGACAAAGATATGAAGCTTATGTAAGTTGCCCATTTGGCAAAGCAATCAAAATCCCCGTACTTGTTGGGCCTATGAATCGTTAAAAAAATTGTTATAAACTGAGGTAAAGATCTCACCTTTGGAAGAAGAAACGCCGGTTTCGACCAATTTTCAGCAAAAAAGATTTCTCAGTTGGGCGTTGAGAGAGAGAGGGGGCTGGGTTTTTAAGGTTTGGGGGGAGGGAGAAAAGGATATTCGCAGGAGGATAAACTTTGTTCCGAGAAATATCGATAACGAGAGGTTGTACAAAGCACCGGGGTAAATAATAAGCGCGTTGGGGTCAGCGCTGGGTTAAAAAGACGAGACAGGGTTATTTGCCTATGAAAAAGGTAGGGAACAAAAAACATGGGACATGTGAGGTGTCGGCTCTTTGTCCCATGATGTATTGTTTATGTGTCGGCTCTCTGTCCTATGATGAACTGTTCATGAATAGTGTATCATGGGACAGGAAGCCGACATCTTACATGTCCCATGTAGAGTCCCATGTTTTTTGATCCCTGTAGCGCCACCCTTTGCCTATATGGGCCTGTTCGTTTGCCTAAAAAAAAGAGGGAAATCAAAGAAATGGAAAACTATTAAAATGAAGAATTGTTTTTTGAGTGTTTGGTTGGCTAAAAAAGAAGGAAATCAAAGAAATGAAATTGAAATGATGTTAGTTGTCACCTTATTATTGGATGATGTTTGTGGTTTTTTAAGAAAACTAGTTTTGGAGTGTTCGGTTGGCGAAAAAAAATAAGGAAATGAATTATAAGAAACCTATTTCCTGTAGTTTCTTGTTTTTTTTTTGTTCGGTTCATTCTTAAAAATAAAAAATGAAATGAGATGAGATGAGTTGTCATTGTATTATTGGGTGATGTGAAGAAAGATTAAGAAAAGTGTTTTCATAACTTTTTGGGATGAAAATGAAGAAATGAAATGTTAATGAGATGAGGTGAATTGTTATAATATTTTATTGGATGATGTGAGTGATTTGAAATGATGAGAAGAGATGAGTTGAGTAATGTTTGGATGAAAATAATATTTTATTAGATGTAATGGATGAGTTGTTAGATGAAAATAATATTTTATTAGATGTGATGGATGAGTGGTTAGATGAAAATCATATTTTATTAGATGATGTGGATGAGTTGTTGGATGGAAATAATATTTTATTGGATGTTGTGGGTGAGTTTTAGGGATGGAAATGAAAGAAATGGTGAGTTTTGAGATTTTCACCATTTCCATTTCCATTTCTTGGTTTTTAGAAAACAAACGAACAGGCCCTATGTCAACATAACCTCCATATCTTCCATAATTACATCTGTAACAACCCCCTCCCCCAACAAAAAGAAATCTTCATAATTGCTAATATACCTCTCAAATATTCGATTTTGAGCTATTATGCCCTCCAAATGCAACAAAGTCGCTAAACTAATGGTGGATGGGTAAGTTAGCCAAAATAACCCTCCTTTCCTTCCCAACTGCCGCAATCTCTTCGTCTTTCTCCTTTTCCTAATCGAAAACTTGGGGGCATATTTGTAATTATGAAGATCTAGGGTGTTAGGTTTGCAATTATGGAAGAGTTGGAGGGTAAATTGGCAATTATGAGTATTCGAGGGGTAAATATGCAATTATGAAAAATTCGAGTGGTATATAGCAAAATAACCTTTTAGGCCCCTTTTGGCAAAAGGTTAAGGAAAAGAGGTTAAAAAGAAGGATTAATGTGCTTAGCTCGTTCCATAATCTGAAGGACTAAATTAATATCCTGTTAAATAAGTTTTATTTTAGCAATTGTTATCAGTTTTAGTGTTTGGGAATAACAATGATTTTGACTATTTTCTTTATAATTAGAAGGGTTAACTCTTAATCCATCTAAATAGGAGTATTAGTAAACCCCTCATTTTGAGGAGTTAACTCATTTTAATCCCTCTAGAGGGGTTAGCTTAACCCTTCTATATTTTTTATGTTTACCAAATTATGGAGGGTTAACTCACTTTAACCATTGTATAGATTTTTTATGTTTGACGGGTTAAAAAGGGGTTAAGTCTCCTGAACCCTTTACCAAACGGCACCTTAAGATATTACTTCCTCAGAACCCACCTGGATGATTTGCACAAAGCCTTCCTGATCTTTGAAATTAGATAGGACCTTCCG